TACAAACAATTTAAGACTTGACAAATGGTTTAAACTATTATTTACTGTGAGTGGATGTGAACTAAGAGATGGGTGTCTGAAACTAGGTGTGAATATAGTATTTCAGAGTCGGCATCATGAGAAAGCTGAATCCTGGATGGAGGAAATTTGGTTTGCAAGTAAGCTACAAGCTGTTATTTATCAAACTGCATACAGACGCTATCTCACTGTGTTCTACGTACCCAAGTGAAGGCGCCCTTTTGGATCCAAAATGTCAGGGGGGTTGGAGACCCCGAGCACAGAAGTCCGTAGACTAACTCCTAGTACGACCAGGTTGGTCCAGGATTGCTTCCAGGTAACACGGGTGGACTGGATGGAACCAAGCGTCTCACAACTCTGAAGGAGTGTCGCAAAATCAGCTTTGTTCTGCAGGAAAATTATCTTGTTGTCCTCAGCTTTGCAGGTGCAAAAGCTTAAGGTTTTGACTATGTCAAAATCCTTCTGTGAAAGAGGCTTGCTCAGACGGCCGTTCTGAGCTTCTCTCTCTTTGTCTGTCTGACTTACTGAGACTGAGAGTGAAGCTCTTTTTAAGGCCTGGTGTTATCTCAGAAGTTGACAAGCATCTCAGAATACAGTCCCCGATTCTGAACTCTGAAATGTGGGGCAAGGTTACTTATGTGTCATATCTTTATCTTAGCCTTACTCTGTCTGCAAGTGTGATGACCTAATCCAGTAAACATACTTAGTATCATTGAAACAGATTCATGAAACATTTCATTATTTATAATTATACATGGCAATATTTAGTGATTATTAATTATAAAATCTTATAAGATCTTCTTTTCTTCAATGATTATTTTGAATTAAAAAATGATTACTTTAGTTATGAAATCTTCTTTTCATCTGGGAATAAAAGTTTATCTAACAGAGTTATGTGCAGAACCTTGGGGAAAAGAATGCTACTGATGTCTTTCATTATCTGATGAAGCTTCAGTTCTGCTGATGAAGTCATCTGATTAAAGAAACTGCGTGCAGACATTCCATCTCCTGTCAGGGTAAAACACAGCAGAACGTGTGTAGCCAGGGTTATTTGCTCTGGCCGTGCTGATTGATTGATTGACTGCTATGAACTGTGGGATCTCAAAATCAGTCCATTTGGTGACGTTACAGTATGAAAGGGTCATTACTGCTTTTGGTTCTGACGAAGGCAACAGTGAACGTCGAAACATTTCAGCAAAGGTAACAACAAACCCTCTTCACTCTGTGTACAATGAAGAACTAAAGAAAATGAAATTAGTATAAATTGTTGTTTTTCAAAAGCTCCTATCAGAGTATGCAGTGGCGGTTCTACATGGAATTACTCCCCGGGCGAGGCCCCCTTTGAGCGCCCCCCCAACCGCCCCCACCACCACCACCACACCACCCCACCTGCACGAACACACACGTTTTCCATAAACAGGCATGTTTTATTAGAACGACTATTGAACATTCATTTTTCTAAGTTGCACATATTTACATTAATTACTATGAAGTTGTCAGAATGTAAAGCAATATACATTATACACTGTATCAAAATATATAGAATCAAATATACAAAAACAACTAAACTAACTAAATATTAAGAATATATGCACATAATATATAATAAATATTCTAAATAGCAAAAATATTTCACACATAACAAACTAAAGATAATCACTACAGCATTGCACTTAGAACAGAAAACACAAACTAAAATTAAAACCTAACCTTGATGCAAAGTCATCAATAATGTCATCATATGAAATCTGCTCCCCTACTGAGTGATTGATACTAATCAGAGCCAGGTTAGTGAGCTGCCCCTGAAACATAGGTGACCTCAGGTATGACTTGATCAAGTTTTGAAAAGCTCCTCTCAGCTTGAGCCACAGTGACTGGCAGAGCAGTCCAAAAGTTGGGGTAGATCTCCAATAGATCTCATGATCCATAATATTTTACAATTGCCTCTGAAATTGTAATTTAAACTGACATAAAAAAAACTGTAGACTACCAAAAATGCCAACTTTTACAGAACAAATCATGTAAAAAATAATCAGTGCAGCCATCTGCAATAAATAAACAGGATAGTTAGTGGTGACTGGGGTGTTTTCTTCTGCTTGTAGAGTTGTTTTATTTATTATTATGTGAACATGATCAACATGTGTTTGTTGTTGTTCAGGCAGGCCACAGGCTGCAGCGAGCATTTAACAAATCCTAGTTTGAATCAATAAAAAACGATTCAAGGAATTTATTCGAACCATTTGAATATTCGTTTCAATATTTCAGCCCTATTAGCTCTGTTAGCAACTAGTTGACAGGATTTAACCGTTAAAATCCCAGTTAACTGGTTCAAAAAATTGAAAACATTCATCATGAGAGCGACCATACCTTTATTTTTCTCCTCTTTTTTTCTTTTTTATTCCTGAATCGGGCACCTGTTGGTTTTAGCCTTTTTATGTTCATCTCTTCTGTTTGGCTCTTGACTCAATAAGTTTCCTTTAGTCAGGACTAAACAATTTGACCTTGATGGGGGGGTGACCACAAAATCGTTTTGTTTTTCCTTTTTTTATTCGGCCATTTCACACAATTCAGAAACACCTGAAAGAATGATAGGCCTGTGTTTATGATATTATGAATGAAATGTGGAAGAACATCAAGATGTGATCGACTTTAGCCATGTTGATAGTTGATTCAGCCCCTACCCGCTCATTTCATTTGGACCCACCCAGAGGTGAATTCCCCCGCCGCACCCCTCCCCTTCCTCTTCTTCATACACACACGGTGCACGGAGCGCCTGCAGCTGCAGGGGGCGCCAACTTGCTGTTTCCAATCCAGACACTGTCATATGACAGATAATAGAAAACCTCGGTGCGGCGCAGATTTCCTTTTTTTTTTTTTTTTTTTTTTTACTCAGCGCTTGTGCGCCCCTTTTGTGTCATGAAAAAATGCCGCCCCGGGCAACTGCCCTGTCTGCCCGTGCCTAAAACCGCTACTGAGAGTATGAACAATAATAATTCTAGCAGAGTGAGGGGAAAATAATGGTCTTTGGACCGTGAAGGTTGCAGAATCATAAGTTTCTTAACTAAGTTGGTCAAGGCTTCAATTCAGTTATTTCAGCATTTCTCAACATGTACTTTTAAAAGGCTTGTCCCAGAACTGCCCCACACAAGGGTGGACATCTGGTCATCCTAGCCACCATTAGGTGGTATTCAATTGGCAGTATCAGTCAAGTGTCCAAAACACACAGCTGCAACCAAGCCAACATTTCAATCAATCAATCAACTTTATTTTCAATTCTATCACATTGTCTGAGCGAAACCTCCCTGAACCGTCTACAGGTGGTTCAGAACGCCTGTGCTCAGCTTCTGACCAAGTCCTCCAAACACACCCACATCACCCTGCTTCTCCTCCAGCTTCACTGGCTGCTGGTTAACTTCAGGGTTCATTTCAAGATCCTGGTTTTGGTCTTTAGTGCCTTACACGGACAAGCATCATCATACATTGGTGATCTTCGCCTTACACCCCCAGCAGGTCCCTGAGGTCCAGTGACCAAAGCCTACTGGTTGTGCAGCGCACCAGGCTAAAGACCAAAGGTGACAGATCATCCTTCATCACCACCCTCTCTTTATTCTGTTCTTATTCCATCTTTCCCGGGATCCATTGATTTCCAACTTTCCTATTCATTTTCTCTTTCCCTTTCCTTACATATTTCTTCTTTTCTCCTTTTAAAAATGTTTTTAATTATTTTTTAAATCTTTTTATACTTTAATTTGTTTTGTTTTGTTTTGTTTTTGTTTTTGTGAAGCGCCTCGTGATTTTTATCTTGAGAGGCGCTATATAAAAGATCATCGTCTTCTTCAACATACAGATAATCAAAATTGCAAATTTCCGACCCTGAGTGCAATAATTTGGCTTTAAAACTACATAAAACTAACATGGCCTAAAATAACACTGACAAAGTAGATAATAAAAATTTTAAAGATACATGCTGTATAAAATCCCACAAAAAACTGGCAAAAAAACTGATGCCTGGAGACTTTGTAGTCTCCTCCCTGATGGCAGCAGACTAAAAAGTCAGTGTGACGGGTGAGTGGGATCACCTGCAATGGCGAGGGATCTGCGGGTAAAACAGCTATTTAGATGTCCTGAAGGGAGGGAATAGAGACTCCAACAATCCTCTCAGCTGCTCTCACTATGCACTGGAGTGGCTTCTGGCAGGATGCATTACAAGCACCATACCACACAGTGATGCGGTATGTTAAGATGCTCTCGACGGTGCCTTTGTAAAAAGTACAAATGGTGAAGGCCGAGACTCTGGCTTTCTTCAGTTTTTGGAGAAAGTGGAGATGCTGCTGTGCTTTCTTGGGTAGTGTTACAGAGTTTTTAGTCCAGGAGAGGTCCTCTATGATGTGCACACCAAGAAACTTGGTGCTATCCACTCTCTCCACAGTTTAAAGGTTGATGGTCAGAGGAGAATCTACATTTACATGTGGAGCCCAAATGGGTTTAAAATGGGCTGAAAAACTGGCCCCATTTAGGATTGCCCATGGGTTACGTAATGGCCCCATCTCAAATGCTCATGTAGGTCTGATTAGAGGAAAATCTGGGAACTGTATGGGCCCCAACTGAGTAGAGTACACAAAACCCATCTGGGCCCCATCGATCCAATTTTCTGTGGGTACCACACAGATTTAAAAGTGGGCTTTAAGTGGAAATGTCCATGGGTTACACAATGGCCCCATCTATTCAACCCTTATAATGATGTAATTTTGGGGGGTGGGTTCATTATCCACAGAGCAAACAGAGCTTGTTTTTACCTTTGCTGACATAATTTCGACATCTGCTAAAACCTTCATCAGACCTTTCATCGTTGCTTCCTTACGAGAAGTCCGCGATTAGGTGTCAAGATAGACTCTGGTCTACGATTTGATAGTCAGGTGAACTCTGTTGTTCATTCGTGTTTCTATCAACTAAGGTGCTTATCTAACATTAAGTCAATCTTAATGAAACAGGAGTTGAAAACTGTAGCCAATGCTTTTATCATCTCTAGGCTAGAGTACTGCAACTTCCTGTATGCTGTCTTGAGCCAGTCCTTAATGGCTCGGCTCCAGCTGGTCCAAAACGCTGTTGCCAGATTTCTTTATGGAGCACGTAAGTGGGAGCATGTCACTTCCCTCCTGACAGCTTTGGACTGGCTACCGGTGAAGAGTTGCATCTTGTTCAAAATCCTGGCCCTTGTTTTTCAATCCGTCTGGATCAGCGCCACCTTATTTAGCCTCCCTGCTGACCCGTTACATCCCTGAAAGATTGCTACGATCGGGTCAGAGTGACCTTGTGCCTGTACCTCCATCAAAGCGTAAGTCTAGGGGTGATCGTGCCTCTGCAGTTCTGGGTCCTCGGCTTTGGAAACAACTCTCACGAGAAATCAAACAGTCCACATCACCGCCCACTTTTAAAGCAAGGCTTAAGCTGTATTTTACATCTTAGTTGTTTTTATTCACATTTTAATGTTTTTGATCACTATTCTTATATCGTTTTCACCTCATTTTTTGTTTTTAAATGTTTTTATCTCTGTATTTTATTGCAGAGCTGTTTTATTGTGCTGCTTCCTTGCGCTATGTTCAGCACATTGGGCCTCCTTGATTGGGGGTGGGAAGGGGCTTTATAAATAAAAATAACTTGAACTTGATGTTTTTATATTACCCTGTATATTAATATACTTGCAATATTTTTAGGTGGCCGTCATCATTCCATTCCGAAATCGCCATGAAAACCTGACCCACTGGCTCTACTACCTCCATCCATTCTTACAACGGCAGCAGCTGGACTACGGTGTTTATGTCATTAACCAGGATGGAGATGGAACTTTCAACAGAGCTAAATTAATGAATATAGGCTACGCTGAAGCGCTGAAGGAAGATGATTACAACTGTTTCCTCTTTTCTGATGTAGACCTCGTACCTTTAGATGACCGTAACCTCTACAGATGTTTTAGCAATCCAAGACACTTAAGTGTTGCTGTAGACAAGTTTGACTATAAATTACCATATGAACAGATTTTTGGTGGGGTCACAGCATTAACAAAGGAACAATTCTTGACCATCAATGGCTTATCTAACACTTTCTGGGGCTGGGGTGGTGAGGACGACGACCTCTACAACCGAGTCATGTTGCGCATAAAGGCCATATCTCGACCATACGCTGTGATTGGAAGGTACAAGATGATAAAACATGAGAGAGACCCGCATAATGACCCGAACTTCAACAATGTCAAAAAACTACAAGAAACTACAAATACTTTAGATCAGGATGGGCTCAGTTCACTCAATTATACAGTCATAGATATCACAAAGAACATGTTGTTCACTTTTATTACTGTGGATGTTCATGTTCCTATGGGTCTAACTAAGAAATGAATGAGCAATGAATCTTCAGTTTACCATGACTCTCATCAGTTTTAGTCTCTTAACTTTGACGTATATGGAAATTAAATTATTTTAATGTGTTGCTGAAATTTTATGGGATCTGGTGAATTGTTAGATCATATATTTTTTACTGGTGAAATAAGAGATAAAACATGAATGGTTCTCTATATTGATGCCTAAAGCCTCCTTTCCACCAGACGTAAAAACGCCGCAAAACGTACTTTGTGGGAATTAACTTCTACAGTAAACAGTTTCCTTTCCTCTGGCAGCAAAGTGTAACATTTTAAACATGTCCCAGAAGAAAAAGTATGCTATCATTACATTTCAACTCTATTTTTATGCTCCATGCTTCCAAAATGCATCATACTCTACATATTAGATCGCATAGACATGAATATGTCGATGTCTCATTGGGTGTTGAAGAGCCAAACAGCGTCACCGACGTATTGCGTGGGCTCCATACTCTCCAAACCCAACTGGATTCAATGCAGGGTGGGAAACTAAGTCTGTCTTTGTCCAGCCTATGGTTGCAACAACTGGTGCACTATCAAAAACAGGTCACATGGGATTACTATTGACTTTTCTATTCTACCTGTTAGAATGTTATCTTTTTACTAGATTTTAACTTTGATTCCACACTATATGTCTGATTTTGTGAAAAAGCTGTGTAAAATGTGTGTGGGGGGGGGTGGGGGGTGGGGGGATGTTGGGTAAACACCCTCCTCAGTAGAAATAAATTCACTTGGGGCACATGGAAACCTTTTCAATGGCATCTTACTACTACACCAGCTCCAAGCTCTTCTTCAGCACGCCCTCTGCTTGCGGGTGCTGTCATCAGCAAGATGCGGAAAATGTGTGGCAAGCCGTTGGGAAATGCTTTGATGGACTTTGATGGCTGTGATGGTCTCTGATAAAACATAAACGTTGCAAAACAAACAAAGTGAGTCACATTGCTGTTTTTCAATCCCAGCCGAGATGTCCAAGTATTAGGAAATAAGACTCCAAATCTCACACACACACACACACACACACACCTCCTCACCCCAACCCCCACCAACTTGCAAGGCATTTATTCCTACTAGAGATCACTGCAAATGTCATGGGTCCTCGAAAGAAAGAGGAATTTAGTGCGTCAATGGGGCTATGAAATATATTTTCAGGTAAGTTTTTGCTTCTTGCAGTTGTGTAACCTGGCATGGCAGCCCTTCACACTGCAGTGTACAATTTTCTGCAGGTTTATAAGCACACAACACACAAAGTGACCAATGCTTCCATTGTTTATACACCCAGGTATCCCATGAGGCAACGCTACAGCACCTGATATATCATCAACAAATACAGATGACCAATGATGGATAATGAAAGGTGGCGACCCCTTGGGAGACTGGAGCATGCCACTTGCTTTAAGCAGCTGTTCGGCCGAGAGACAGGACCTCACAAATCTTTTTAACCGCAGTGGACCAGCAAAGTCCAAAAACCTTTGCCAGCTAGCCTCGGTCAGCTTACGAGTTTTGGTACCCTGCCAGCCAGCCGGCCTTACCAATACATATTTCAACCCATCTTTGACCAAGCAGCCAGGGGTGTAGCAAGTTTTTGTAAAGTGTGGGTGTTGAGATCTCCCAGATATTTATACAGGTGTATATGTATACATATATACATATAAATGTGTGTGTGTGTGTGTGTGTGTGTGTGTGTGTGTGTGTGTGTGTGTGTGTGTGTGTGTGTGTGTGTGTGTGTGTGTGTGTGTGTGTGTGTGTGTTGTTATGTGCAAAGTGTTGCTGGCAGTTTTTATAACTGCCTTCTTTTCCAGGTTCAAGTTGCCTGCTACATTCTGAAGTGAACCTTCCCTTTCTGCCAGTGATTGGCTGCTGTGTTCCTGGTTGCCCAATCAGCTGTGGAGCCAGCCCTTTAAATAGCCTGCACCTGGTGGAAGCTGGAGCCTTTTCGTTCTGATCCAGCCGTTGAGCCCAGAGCTTGTTTTCTATGCTCTTAGTTGAAATGTTGATGCTGAAATCCTTTTAAACTGACTGTCAGATATGTGGTGGGAAGGTTCTGGACCAGGTAAGATGGGGTACCCTGTACATCTCCACACGTAGTATCTGGATATCTAAAAAATACTAGGTAAGAGTGAGTAGTACCTCCCTTGTACTGGTTTGATGAAAGTTATGTTGTAGATAAGTTAGTTAGGACTTTCTTTTCTTTTTATAAGATTAGGAGTTTAGTTAGGGTGTGTTTTTTTTTATTGATTTCATATGTTTGGTCAACACACAGGTCCCTTCTTTTCCCCCATCGCCAGCAAATAAACATCCTTTTACTCTTTAGCCGACCTGCCTCTTCAATCATTGTGACTGTCATTTTGCATTCCCCTATATCCTAGACTGGGGGTTCGTAACAGTATATATGTATATATATATTTATATATATATATATATATATATACAGGGAGTGCAGAATTATTGGGCAAGTTGTATTTTTGAGGAATAATTTTATTATTGAACAACAACCATGTTCTCAATGAACCCAAAAAAACTCATTAATATCAAAGCTGAATGTTTTTAGAAGTAGTTTTTAGTTTTAGCTGTTTTAGGGGGATATCTGTGTGTGCAGGTGACTATTACTGTGCATAATTATTAGGCAACTTAACAAAAAACAAATATATACCCATTTCATTTATTTATTTTTGCCAGTGAAACCAATATAACATCTCCACATTCACAAATATACATTTCTGACATTCAAAAATACAAAAAACAAATCAGCGACCAGTATAGCCACCTTTCTTTGCAAGGACACTCAAAAGCCTGCCATCCATGGATTCTGTCAGTGTTTTGATCTGTTCACCATCAACATTGCGTGCAGCAGCAACCACAGCCTCCCAGACACTGTTCAGAGAGGTGTACTGTTTTCCCTCCTTGTAAATCTCACATTTGATGATGGACCACAGGTTCTCAATGGGGTTCAGATCAGGTGAACAAGGAGGCCATGTCATTAGTTTTTCTTCTTTTATACCCTTTCTTGCCAGCCACGCCTGTGGAGTACTTGGACGCGTGTGATGGAGCATTGTCCTGCATGAAAATCATGTTTTTCTTGAAGGATGCAGACTTCTTCCTGTACCACTGCTTGAAGAATGGGTCTTCCAGAAACTAGCAGTAGGACTGGGAGTTGAGCTTGACTCCATCCTCAACCCGAAAAGGCCCCACTAGCTCATCTTTGATGATACCAGCCAAGGCCAGATTAACCATATGGGCAACTGGGCAATTGCCCAGGGCCCACGAACTCTAAAGGGCCCAGGGCAGCAAGGGCACGAGCAAAATACTGCATCTGTAATCTCCCGCTTTATCACCAGGGTGACCGTACGTCCTCTTTTCCCCGGACATGTCTGCTATTCACTCTGTCCGGGGCATCTGGGGGGGAGGGGGGGGGGTGTTCTTGCATTGATGAAAATGTCCGGCTTTTCATCCAGGAGCACGGATTGAATTATGGGGGAGCTGGATACCCTACACATCCAGGGGAGCCGGAAAAAAGTTTTCAACCGATATTACATCATTTATGGACTCTTTTGAGCAGAGAGCACATATAGCGCTGATCGTTGGTGTTCAGCGCTCCAGGCAGCTGCGTCCAGCGCACGGTCCATTCTCAAAGTGGTGCAACCAAAAAACTATAATTAACACACGATCGTTCATGTCTGCACATGTTCTCTATTTTCTGTCTTATTTGTGCCTGAAGCGCTCTGCTACTGTGGAGCTCATCACCTGTGCTGCGGTGAATTCACCTCACTGACGCAGCATCGAAATGCGTACTCCGCTTTTCGGTCAGGAGATCCCTTTGATCTGCTCAAAAGTAACTGATGAGGTGAAAAAGTAAGAACCCAGGCAGCAGTTTTTCTGGAGAGTTTAGAGGAGATGCAGGAAGATAAGAGACAGACAGGACAGGAAAATAGTTACATAAAAACAAGAAAACAAAACTAAGTGTTGAAAAGTAAAATGTAGGTAGACTTATCTCCACTACACGTTTTTACCTGTATAAAACAATAAGTTATACACATGTAATATTTATACATGTGATACAATTCAGATCACCTTCAAAACTCAGTCACACACCCAGGGCCGTTTCAAGACATTTTGGGGGCCAAGGCAAAATGACACCCCCCCCCCCCCCCCCCCCCCCAAGTATTGAGTACATATTACAGTAAAATATTCTGTATGTGACCATATTATGGTGATCCTTGGGTCGTGATGATGGGGCCCTTTAATATTGTTGCCCAGGGTACAACAAAGTGTTAATCTGGCCCTGATACCAGCCCAAACCAGTACTCCACCTCCACCTTGCTGGCGTCTGAGTCGGACTGGAGCTCTCTGCCCTTTACCAATCCAGCCACGGGCCCATCCATCTGGCCCATCAAGACCCACTGTCATTTCATCAGTCCATAAAACCTTAGAAAAATCAGTCTTGAGATATTTCTTGGCCCAGTCTTGACGTTTCAGCTTGTGTGTCTTGTTCAGCGGTGGTCATCTTTCAGCCTTTCTTACCTTGGCCATGTCTCTGAGTATTGCACACCTTGTGCTTTTGGGCACTCCAGTGATGTTGCAGCTCTGAAACATGGCCAAACTGGTGGCAAGTGGCATCTTGGCAGCTGCACGCTTGACTTTTCTCAGTTCATGGGCAGTTATTTTCCGCCTTGGTTTTTCCACACACTTCTTGCGATCTCTGTTTGGGTGACTGGTGAGTGTGCATGACTTTCACCTGGGAGTCTATTGATCAAATCCCGATTGGACCATTTTTTTTATATCCGCAAGAGATGTCTCTGAAGAATTCACAACATTGACGGCTTCAGCAACTCTGTGCCACTCCGTGGATATTCTCTTATTTGTTTTGCAAAAGCACTTCCTTTCATTTCTCCACCTCACCCACAGGTACCTCAATTTCTGCTTCTGTAAAATAGCGCTTCCTTGATCTGCCTTGATCTACAGTCGCCATGTCATTGTTGGAATGCTGCAACAGCCAGCTTATGTATATGCATGAGATCCACAAGGCACTTTGCATTGACTATCTGTGGCAGTAAGTGGGCGTGGTGAGGGTGGGATGTGACTAAAAAGCAGCTGAGAACCTTTCTAGATAGTTTCCGATTTATGAAGCGGAGATTGCGTGCAGCTGTGAGTACTCTATGTTTGATAGATCACAAACCTACTTGGTGTAAGTAATTTTTTTTTTGCTGAGCTTACGTATGGTTTTAGTAAGGATTCTACACGATGTTTTGATAA